TTATGAGGCAGGTGGTATTATTACCCAGATTTTTAAAATCAGGAAACTGGCGCTCATTAGTCAAAGGACTTATCCAAGTTCACACAGCTAGTGGGCAACAGAGCAAGGACCAGAACCCGAGAGTATGTGACTCTGTGCTCCCCCTCTTAACCTCTACCTGCCCTGCCAGGAAGGGCTCTGGTTTGAGGTTTCCCCTTTTCTGACCTCGCTGCATTCCTGGTCCTCTGGTTGCTTCTGCTGTTCTAGGCAGGAAGAGCAGATCTCTCCACAGAGACCTGAGTAACAGATCTGCACGGCCAGCCTGTGTCATTGCTTTGCAGTGTTGGTTGAATTCTGCGGTTGCCGAATGGTAGCAGGCAGTGGGGGTGAAGAGGGAGGCTGACATCCCCCATCTGTGGTCATCCTGTCCCGCCCAGCATGTTGCCCAAGGGGCACTCATGCCCATCTGCAAGGAGTGTGTGCTGGCACCCAGAGCCGCAGGGGAGGACGTGGGGTGAACCTGCCCAGGAACCCCTGCCAGCGGGCCAGAGTCCAACAGCTGGGAATAGGGAAACACCACATTCCTCTCTGCCCCCAACTCATCCCTGCTTCTGCTGGGACATCACAGTGGGTGTCCCATCAGCCGCTGCACAGTCCTCACAGGACGTGGAGTCAGGGTGCCTAAGTCCAGAGCCAGAAGGCTTGCCCAGGTCACAGCCATTAGCAGCAGAGCCAGGGCGGCACATTCCTCATTCCCAGGCCCGTGGCTACAGTGTGATGTCAGGGGATAGGGATCGTATCCCAAAGGGTTTTTTTAAAGAACTGCAGCAGTTAGGTTTTCAAATGGCCCAATAACATAACAGGTAAGAGCTTTACTTCTAAAGCAGGAGCTAACGGAGTCTGGATTCTAGACCTGCCACGAGTTAGTGACCTTGGACAGGTCCTGTGACCTCTGTGAACCTCCAAGGGGAGGAACTGTGCCCTGCCTGGCAGGCTGCTGTGAGAGTTCAATGATCTACAGCACATAAGCCCCAGCCCCTCCGGGCAAGCAGTGAGAGCTCAGAGCTTACTAGCTGTACTTCTTCCTTCTTCTCCAGACATTGCTTGGACATGAAAATGCTACCTTATGTCCAGTATTTCACTCAATATTGACAACAGCACTCTCGGGAAGGAATTAAGATCCCCAGTACACAGATCAGTGAACAGTGTCAGAAAGGTTAGCTGATTTGTCCACAGCCCCTTTGCTGGTAAACAAGCCTGATTCTCTGACTCCCAGAGCCCTTGTTTTCTATACTAGTTCACAGATGCATTTTGCTTTATTTTGTTTCTGTTTTAACCCAAGGGTGGTAGAGCTGAACTAATATTACCCTGCAAACTGTGACATCAAATGTCCGTCTGTGAGATTCCGGTTACTGCCACAGTGCCTATCTCCCTCAGCTCTTACACCCACCTCCCAGGGCAGCTGTGAACATTTACTGTATCTGTGAACGAGCCCGGCCCCACCCGTCTCCTAAATCTATTATCTCGCTAGGTTCTACCTGGTCCTCACGTGCACATCTTCCCCCTAAGCCAGTGGTTCTCAACCTTGGCTGCACATTAGAATCACCTGGGAATCTTTTTAAAATCCTGACTTCTGGGCCTCATCCTCCGGAAATTCTGTTTCTTTGTTATGGGGTGGGGCCACAACATTAGTAACAAAGAAACAGAATTTCCGGAGGATGAGGCCCAGAAATCAGGATTTTAAAAAGATTCCCAGGTGATTCTAATGTGCAGCCAAGGTTGAGAACCACTTCCCTAAGCCCAGGCACAAACAGGGGACAGGTCCCCCGTGGATTCCAAGCCAGGGCTTCTCCCACTGACCAGGGTGACACACCTGGTCCTGCCACAGCATTTGAGCTGCCTGGGGGACAGCAGAGCTCTGCTGGGGGTGTGAGCACAGTCATCTTTTGTTAATGCAGCAACAATACAGACATAAAGGGAAAAGGGGGAACGAGACGGAGGAACCAAGCACATACCACCTGTTGGGGGTGTGCCCAAGTCTGTGTGGAAAATGGGAGAGTGGCACTCAAATGACAGACTTGAGGAGGTGGGTCATATGGGAGCACTTGGCTAATGTGGAAACTTGTGAAATTATGGGGGCAAACTGGTCTGCTCACTCAGAGAATGCAGTGAGGAAGAACCAGAGTAACGCTGCAAAACACCAGCGGGAGGAAGGGGCTGGATTTTGCCGATAGTAGCAGCATTGCCTGAAATCTTAGAAAGACTTTTAAGAGGATGGGAAGGGCCTCCTGAATACTCGGGGAGAGAAGGGGCCTTGGGATCCACATGGCTCTGCCAAGCATGAGCCGTGAGATCGAGGACAAAGTGGCCTCTCTGAGCTTCAGCTTCTCAGATGTAAATGTGGATATCACCTGAATGTATTAGAAAACTCAGAACAACTGTATCATAGCTCCTAGATCCTAGATCTTCGCATGTCTGAAAGTAGAGTATGTCTCAGAACCTGCCACATTTTAGAATCTATGAAATATAGCATGTCAAACTCATCACACAGTGTGAGTCCCCAGTAACAATGGGTAGTGTCCTCTAGTAAGAGCCAGAAGAGGCACCTGTAACACACCCTGAAATCCACTTAAGGCAGTTAACTCAAAACAACACCCGGATGGCCGGGCTGCTGGAGAAGGGGAACCATGGGGAACCTTTCACTCGTGGCTCACCGCTGACGATCTGCTGGGTGAATGGATAGACCCAAAAGGCCCTGATTCATTCCTAATCCGACATGATATCTGCTGCTGCAACACCACCAACTACCGAAGAGTTCCCTAGTCTCTGAATCAGGACACACGGTTGCACCTACAAAACGAAACCCAGTCAATAGCTGATGGAACTCAGGTCACCTGCTGCGGGTAGAACCATCCTGAACAACCCGAAGTCCTGAGAAGGTATTGCTTCCCACCTCTGGATTTTTGCATGTTCCCTTACTTCTGGTGGGACCCCCCTCCCTCCCCACCCTCCTCTCCCCCTGTGTTGGGGCACTGGATAGAGCAGGGCAGATGCTCCAGGTTCCTGCCCACAGAGAGTGAGAGCCTGGCAGTGATGATGGCTAAACAAGTAGCGACAGGGAAGGCAGGGAGTGCTGAGACCAGGGAGACAGAGAGCCTCGCCTCACACTGGCTGCCTGACAAACCCCACTCTTCCCTGGCATGCCCTCCTCCTGGAAGCTGCCCTGGACCCTCACATTGGGCTGCCTGCCCTATCACTCTGGGTCTACAAGCCTCCGACCCCACTTCTAGAAGGTGAGCTCCTTGGGAGCAGAAACGGGTCTTATTCATACTTAGTTCCTAGGATGACGGCACCAACATAGTCGAGTGTCAGGAAATGTTTGCTGAATGGAAATCCATTAAGAAAATATTTGTGTGATTGGAAATTTAATCATATGAAGTTCTACAAAAGATATAAATAGCCAATTGCATTTAGCTACCCTGCTCTCCTGGCCTCAGTATCTGTCTCTATAAAATGAAGGGGAATTAGAATGATCAGTGCTTTGCTTTGCTTTTAATTCTCCCCTTCTCCTCCCCCTCTTCCTCCTCCTCCTTCACCTTTTTCTCCTCCTCCTCCTCCTCCTCCTCCTCTTCCTCCTCCAGTGGGGGCTGCTCTGCAGTGAGAGGGGATTGCAGCTTCAGGTCTCCTCTCTGCTCCCCTTCCCCAGGAAGGTGTAGTGGGTGCCTCAGGAGGCCCTCACACCTCAAAGGTAGCCAGGCTCACCGGGACCAGATATATTACCACCAGAAAACATTGCGAAATATGTATCGAGTGCCCAACACACACCGGGGTAGTCAGGCTCTTTAAACAATTATCCCCTTTCCTCTTTCTTTCTCTCCTTGCCATCCCTTTCTCTTTGCTCCAAATTCTTCATTTTCAAGTTACACATAATCTTCCATTATTGTTAGTTGCCTTAAATACTTTTGGAGAATGAGTTAGAGTTATAAATAGATCTAAATATAAAACATGGCGTGTGTTTAATCCTTACAACAAACCTGTCAGGTTGGTTTTGAGTGTGTGTGCATTTTTTTTTTTAAGCCTCACTGGAGGACATGCTGAGAGACGAGAAAGAGAGAGAGAGAGAGAGAGAGAGAGAGAGAGAGAGAGAGAGAGAGAGAGAGAGAGAGATGGGGGGGCATCAATCTGTTGCCTTCTATATGTGCCCTGACTGGGGATGGAACCAGCAACCCAGGTATGTGCCCTGACCTTGAATCATACCGGAAACCTTTCCGTGCACAGGATGAAGTTCAATCAACAGAGCCACTCCAGCTGGGCAATTTCAGTAATTCTGTTTCATAACTAAGTTCAGCAAGGCTCAGAGAGGAAGCGAAATTGCCAAAGATCTTTCCAGGAAGTCAGTGAGCACAATCCCAACTCCCACCTCGAGGGTGCTGCCTAACCCTGGCACCATGCTCACTAAGAAGTGTAGGTTTACTAATTTATTTAATCCCCACAAACCCTGTGAGGTGGATACTGTTGCTATAACCACGTTACAGATGAGAAACCAGAGGATTAGAGAGGCTGAGTAGCTTGTCTGGGACCACACAATCAACAAATGCTGAGCCAGGCCTTGAACACAGACTGAGTGATGCCCGGGCCGGGGCTGGTGCCCAATGTGGATCCCCACTCCTGCCTCCAAAGCCCCACTCCTGACTCCCCTTGAAGGTACTCTCCATGCCCTCCTGGTCAGGGCTCAGGGACAACACAATGCAGGAGCACAAACCATTGAGCAAACCAGACTGCCCGAGGGAAAAATCTGAGTTTCCTAGAGATTTGGCTGTGTGACCTCTGGCAAGTTGTTTAATTTCTCTGTGTCTCAGTTTTCTCAACCAAAAAATGGGAATTACACTCCTAAGAATCTCAGAGGTATTTTTTTAAGGCATGAAAATTCTTAAAACGGTCCCTGGCATAGATCAAGCACTCTGATCGTTAGCTCTTATTATGTGTTTATAAAATGCCCAGCAATGAATCTCGGCTCCTACCTATGCTGTTGCAGTTTCTGTCCCTTGGGGGTTCCGCACACGGTGGAGCTTTTGTCCCGAGGGAAGCTGGAAGGAAGCTGGAACTGACTCCAGGCAGATTCTGATTCTGTGCATTCTCTCCCAGCTGAAGGCTTGTGGTCTCTTCCCACGGACGCTTATGCAAATCGACACACGCTCTTGAGCACCTAGTGTGTGCCAGGGCCTGCTTGAGACTCTGGGTCCAGAGAAATCAAAGAGGCCCCAGGGCTCCCTGCTTTCCTGTGTGTGGCAAAATATTCATAACATAAGGTTTATTATTTTAACCATTCATAAGTTTCCAATGCAGGGGCATTAAATATACTCTCAATGTTATATGACCATCACCACTATCTATTCCCAGAACTTTTTTATCAACTCCAAAAAAACTCTGCAGCCCTTAAAAAATAATTCCCCTTCTCCCCCTCCCCTCCCCCCAACCCCTAGAAACTTCTATTCTAATCTCTGCCTCTAACTACATTTTAAAAAATTGTTGTGGTAAAATATCCTATATAATAAAAGCCTAATGTGCAAATCAACCTAAAGACAGAACAACCGGTCACTATGACACACACTGACCACCAGGGGACAGACGCTCAACACAGAAGCTGCCCCCAGCCTGCAGGCCCCAGGCCAGCCAAGGTGGGTGCCAGCGAGGACCCCCCAATCACCCTGCTGGTCGACACACAGATCAGCCCTGATTGCCTGACCAGGCCTAGGGACCCTACCTGTGCATGAATTTTGTGTACCGGGTCTCTAGTATGACATAAAATTTAACATTTTAACCATTATTAAGTGTACAGTTTGGTGGCATTAGTACATTCACTTTGATGCGTTACCATCACCACAAGCCATCTCCAGAACCTCTTCATTTTTCTAAACTGAAACTTTGTACCTATTAAACTCCATTCCCGCCCCCCCACCCCCACCCCCGCCCAACCACTGGCTATTGGTGACCACCATAATACTTTGTCTCTATGAACTTGACTACTTGAAGTACCTTATATCAGTGCTGTCAGACAATATTTGTCCTTTTGTGATTGGCTTATGTCACTTAAGATAATGTCTTCAAGATCCATCTGTGTTGTGGCATAGCTCAGAATCTCTTGCTTTTAAGACTGGGTAATATTCCAGTGCCTGTGTACCACTTCATGTTTATCTATTTATTCATCTGCCGTTGCCCTCGCCGCCTGTCTATTGCAAATAATCCTTCTGTGAACACGAGTATAATTCTCCCTGCCTTTGAGCTGCTTCTGGTCTAAGGTGGGGGGTGACATGTGGATTCACCTGCAATTACCCTGGACAAGACACCCTGGATAAGTTAACCTGGAAAAGACACCCTGGATGAGCCTCTGTTTCCTCATCTGTGAAATGGGCATAATGTTCCCATGGTAGGTATTAAATGCGTTGCTGCACAACTTAGGGCAGCACCAGCACACTCTAAGCATTGATAATGCTGGCTCTGCCGCAGCTGCTGCCACGTTAGGCCAGACGTGCCTGGGGAAGAAGGGATTAGAAGTCAGAGGGCAGCTTGAGTCTCTCACAAACATCCTGGCAAGCAGGCCTGAAGATCTCGATTTTCCTGATGAAGAAACAGACTCGGAGGAGTCCCTTGACTATGGATAACGGAGATGGGCCTGGAATCTTCTTACTCAAATCTAGAGAGCAGGGATGATGGAAAGGCGCACAGGAAAGCAGGCACCGCACACAAAAGCTCCCTCAGAGGTCTGTCGAGCGGGCATGGGAAGAGCAAGCACAGTTGCCAGGAATGGCCTTGATGTTGGAGGGAAGAACTAAGAAGGCAGGGAGAGGAGAGGTGTTAACATGGCCACAGAGGGCACAGCCTGAGCAAAATGCAAGAGGTGGGAGGTGCCCTGTCTACAGGAGGAATGGGAGGAGACCAATCTGTGGGAGCAAAGGGTACGTGCCGGAGGGTGGGGTCAGGTCAGGAGGGGACAGGGAGGTGGCCCCACCCAGTCTGGTTCCAGGGTCGGGAGGGCCCAGAGGAACTGCCCAAGGTGCTGTCTCAGGGACATTAGTCAGACGGATTGGACAGGGACGCCTGCCTCGTGACAGATTCTTGCCTTCACCCCACAGGCGATATCTTTAAAATTGTATGTGTTTCACCAACATCATGTACAAAGTTCAAAACGTCAGATAGGCCTAGAAGGCCCATTCCCCAGTCTCATTCCCCTCTTCTCCAACTCACTGCCCAGAGGCAGCCACTGACCATGATTTTGTCGAATATTTAACTCCAAAACCTAAATAATATGTCCCCACATCTCCTTCTCCCGCTCCAGTTTGAGATATGCCCTGTTGGCTTGCTGGGATGAAGAGAAGGGTCCAGCTCCCTTCCCTTGTCACTTCACCTTGTCCCCACCTCCCAGTCCAGTTACGACAGAAGCTGGTGTCAGAGTTAGTGTTTATGGTATTGTGACCCTGTGGATCATGGCTGAACCATATCACATTGTGATTAAATGTCTGCCCCTGTACAACTTATTCCTTTTGCTGAAATGAAGATTTCGGTGTTTAATTCAGTATGCTACAGTTTCTGAGTACACTCGTCTGCCTTCTCTTTGTGGGAATGTAAGTCTCCTCTTAGAAGCTCCAAGTTCACAGGTAATCAATCCATCAGTCCACCTTTCATGCTTCTGGAGCCGACAGCATCCTAGTCTAACCCGGACACTTGCTCTCTGCCTGCTTCAGGACGTACCTGTGCCCAGCCCTGTTTTAATCAGGCCACCAATGCCAGACAAGTGAACAGTTCAGTGCATCCTGGCCCAACCATCATTCGTCTACAGAGTCTATTAAAAATACCTACTGTGTGCCTTCTGGATCCCAAAGAGGTCCAATGTCAGAGGCTGGTGACAGAGATGAGTCAGATGTGGTCCCTGTTTCAAAGGGGTCTGAATCTGAGCCCAGTGGCCCCAGTGGCGTAGGCACAGGTAGGTGCTGGGCAGAGGAGCTCTAGGAGATGGGGGTGAGGTGCTTAAGAGAAGCCCTTAACTCAGCCTTTGGAAGGGCCAGCACAGAAGGCTTCCTGGAGGAGGTGAGGCTACACAAGCCTCAACTTGTCAGGAGGTGTTTTCTAAGAGATCTGGAAAGGGCATTCCGGGCTGGAGAGCATCATGTGCACAGTCATGGGGGCATGAGAAAGCATGACTCACTCTGGGGATTTCAAATAAGTAATTAGTGATGATTGTGTGGGCGGGTTCCAATTGAGGGGGAGGCAGGGTCTTGTGTGCCAGGGGCCTGAGGGAAATGGGGAGCCACAGGAAGATTTTACAGAGCAAAGACAGGATCAGGTCTGTATTTTTAAAAAGACAAGATGGTCGCAGAGTGTCAGGTAGATTGGAGAGAGAGACAGGCTGGTGAGGGGATGCTGAGGTCTGGAAAAGGATGAAAAGGACCTGAGCTAACACTGGCACTGCAGGTGAGGCATGGGGCTCATGAGACCTTACAGAGGCCAAGGAGAATGAACATGGGGTCACGGGGAATGTGGAAAGGCTGACCAATAATTCATAGGGACCCACGGGAAAAGATGTTTCCGTTCAATGCATGTCTCCTGGGAAACCGGAAGCTTCTCTGGGCTGGGAAGGAGGGCATTGGCTTCCTGGTGTGTCTGGGGGGCCAGAGGCAAGAGAATGGATGCCCAGGGTCTAAGGGAGCAGGGCCAGGGCCTGGGGTTTTCAGCGATTAGAGGGCAGGGGCAAGATTAAAAAGCCAGGGAGCCAGAAGGGTTGGTACAGCCCAGCTGGTAAGGGCATGTAGGGGTGTGTGAGCAGGGACGATCTGGCAGAGAAGGGGGTACTTTTGAAGCATAGAGCCCTCCATGTGCTAGAAGTCAGGGCTCACCTTGTTCTGGAAACAGCACCAGACAAGGTGTTTCCAGCTGGAGAGCGGTGGACAGGAGATGGACGGGGAACCTGGTGGCAGCTCACAGTGGAGAACAGTGAAACGCCTCAGTGCAACACCAGCAGATGCGGATGCCACGTGGGTTGCACACAGGAGCCTCCCCGCTTGGTAAATGTGGAAGTGGTCGGATCCCCTAGAGAGTTCAGGGGGCCCAGAGGCCCGGCGGAGGGGAGGGGTGTGGGTGGTATTGTGACCTGCACTGTAAGGATGAGGAAACAGACCCAGAGGGGATGTGGGCAGGGAGGGCTGCAGTGGCTTCGTGTAAAGGTAAACGTATGCAACTACATGTGTGTATAATCATACTTTAGCACTGCACGGGTATAAAGGCAAACACTTTAATATTACACGCTAAACACTTTCTTTCACCTCAGCCTGGCGGCCATGACCTGTGTCCTTAACAAGCAAGTTGCCCTGGATCTGAGTTACCAGCTCTTTCAGCTCTTTGGACCCCGCCACCAGGACCTGGGTCTCCCTGGAATGGGTGGACGGTCCTGTCATCCTCCAGGGGAGTGACAGCTAGTCCCTAAGGCCCTTTCAGCCGCGATGTGCTGCGCCACCAAGGACTTCCCATCCCATTCGCCCAGGGACTGGGCCGATGGCTGTTTGAGTTTGGAACCAGCTGGTGCGGCTGAGTGACAGGTAAAGGAGGGAGTGCTGCAAATGTCCCTAAGTTGCGGGGGAATCAAAGTTCTCTGTGTCTGCAGATGTCTGCGACTTTACTCCGGGTGCCACCTACCACGTCCACCCAGAGGACTAGGCGTACTGTCTACCCCACCCACTGGGAGGGTGCAGAGGCTGAGTCAGCCTCAGCTGCCCAGGATGCTGTATCAGGAGGAGAAACAGCACCGTCTGTCTTCCTGCCTGCCTGCCTGTCTGTCTGGGGTCCCAGGGAATCCTGCCTGGAGGTGGGAGAAGCATGCAGTTCTTTCTTTGTGTGTCAGCCACTCATGTAGCCTGGGAGAATGGATGGAGCTTCGACAAGGGCAGTCCCTTCCTCAGGCTTTCCTTACAGATGCCTCACCGACCTCTTTTCTTCCTCCATATGCCCAGGGTAGAGGCAGGTAGGCCTGGTTTGTGAGTGCCAGGCCAGTCCTCCCACTTCCCCGCCTTTGGCCACCGGATGTACCTGGGTAGGTAGGCAAGAGAGCACAGAAAGTGCTGATCTGGAAAAAACAAAAAAATAGGTCTAGCCTGGCTATCCCTTTAGGTCTCAATTTTTCCTCATCTTCAAATCACATTTCTCAAAGCCCAGACCCCCTCCTACTTAGTATTTATAATGGATGAATGGATGGAGGAATGAATGAATGCTCAGCTTTTCCCAGTCTTAGAAGTCACTGATACTTCTGCCCTCCAATACTTGTGGTCAGGTGATAGAACCCAACTTCCTCTAAGACGGGAGGGAAACTGAAACTTGCAGGTTTGGAGAA